TCCGACGGGGCCGGTAGAGCTGGCCCGGCAGCGAAGTCGCCTCATAGAGATGTGGGTATTTAGGGAAAAATAACTTTCACGCTATCAAAAAAAAAATAAATCCCAATATATTGACGCACTTGATGATATATTGCAAGAGGTGTGGACGGAATGAGTGTGTGCCTCGCCTTAGCCGTCAGTTACTCTGACAGAGATGCCTAAGCAGTCAGTCGTTAAGTGACAGATGAGTAACATTTCTTACCGGCAGACCTTTCCTGCGTTAAACGTGTTTTGAACATGGTTCTGGTCATCCAATTCCGCCTCTGTGTAACGAGGGAGCTATAGGCAAAAGTGTCGACAGGTCTGTAACGGGCTATAGCGGGGGGCTGACCTGGAGCGCACGGCAGAACCACTGCAGTTCTTAAAATGCCACCGACAGCTCGTCTGCCACAGGTCTCTTAAAAGTCTCGAAACCTGAAGAGCACGAGGGGTGATAGTTCTTAAAATATTTACAAAGTATCCCGGATGTGCAGTTTTAAACTTCTTTAATTACGTTAACACAGCTGAATTAATTGTGCTGACATAGGTGTTAGGTGTTCAACTTTAACGTTAGTCTGGCATAAGTAATCTGTACCTTCTAATATGAAACAGCAGGCAAAGGCTAGTACAGGCTGCTTGTGCATAGCGTGACTTCTGACTATGAGATGAATATCTGTCACCTGGCAAACATAAAATCGATTTTTATTTGGCCTTTTCTCATCACGATCTGTATTGGAACACCTCCATCTTATGGTTTAATATGTGTGGGTGTGGATAGTTCAGTTCAAGGGTTAATAAAATATTGTTGTGCCTTGTCAGATCTCTGACTCTTAAAATCCCTCAAGGACACTTAACAGAAATTTGATGTTTCAGTTTGTGTATCTTCTGTTGATTATGATGTATGGTCGCTGAAGATAACAAGGAATGGCCCTTCAGCTCTCCTTCTCATGGAGGAATTGAGGGCTCTATTTTTCCTGCTTGCACCATAAAGCTGAAAGACCTTTTCTCACTACTCTTGTTGGAAAAAGAACTTATTTTTCAAGCTTCTCTTTGTTCTTGTGGTGTGGTACTGTTGATGCCCTTCCATACCAGGGTATTTTAAGACTAAAAGTAATGTTCTTAAAAATCAAATCCGTTTAGGGCCCTAAGTGCAACATTTAGGTATAAGTGCGCACCTCCGAGACTTCTTAAGTTAGATATCAATAGTTGAATTTTTAGAGGTACCTTTAAAGGTTACAAACCTTTCATTCCAGCTCTATCAGTTATTCTGAATATGGAAATGATTGTTTAGGGAGAGAATTTCTGTATTGGATCAAGTCCATGATTTCTCTAGCCTTCTCTGTTTTGGAAGAAGATACACGAAGTCCCACAAAAAGAACCGTGTGGACAGCCTGGCCTCCATTAGTGGGGCTGCTGCTCTGATCCCAGGAGTTTGAGATTATCCAAACTTGTTTCATAAAAACAGTTCTGTATTGAGAAGAGTACCCATAAATGTAATTCATGCTGACAAGCTGCTGGAAGCAGTAGTATAGGTGCAGACTTGGGGCAGTGAGCTGATGAAGTTTCTGAAAATCTGCTTCTTTATTTTGAACTTCCTGATTTATTTTTTTTTTTGTTGTATTAAATTTCACTTCGCTTTTTTGCTATAGGAAGAAACAGACGCTATTGATTTCTTCTTTAGTTTGGTGTGCTTAGAATTATAGAAAAAATTATGTTGGAGTGGACTTCTGGAAATCATCTAGTCCAGCCCCCTTCTCAAAGCAGGGCTAACTTAAATGTTAGGTCAGGTTGCTTTTCCAGTTGACTTCTGAAATGATTTGAGATTCAACAGTCTCTGTGGACAGAAACTCTGCCCTTGTGGGTTTCTTGCACAGCTAATTGGAATGTCACTTGTAGCAACTTGTGACTGTTGCCCCTTGCCCTTATTTCTGTTAGTCTTGGGTTAATAATTCCTTTCTTCACTCTGGAGGAAGGAATTATTTTTTTTTTCTGTTTGTGTGTCAGTACTTTCTTATTGCCTCGCCAAACATCGCTGTATTCTGAAGGGACTCTTGGGAGCTATGAAGCTGTACAGCATGTGCCATGTTAGACAAGCTAGATTCCTGATTTAGTGTTGTCTGAATACTTGCAATTAAATACGAAATAGTTACAAATACTGTCTTCTCTTCTTTTTACAGACACCCCTGGGATACAGTGATCAAAGCTGCTATGAGAAAGTACCCCAACCCAATGAATCCATGTGTGGTAGGAGTAGATGTCCTCGACAGAAGCCTTGATAACCAGGGGAGGTTGCATAGTCACCGTCTTCTCAGCACGGAGTGGGGATTGCCGAGTATCGTAAAAGCAGTACGCCTTTACAGTCTTAATGGTTTATTAAGGGTCTGATGCATTTTTATGTTGTCATCTGAATTGGAGCTGAATTCAAAGTAAAAACTTAATTTATAGGAAATACATGGACATCAGCATACTTAGTAGTGAAAATACATTGTAGGCTTTAATGTGCCTATAGTGCGTGTGTGTCTATAGGTGCCTTCCAGTCTGGTCTGTGTCATGCTATACCCTGATACAACTTACCATGATGTGGTCTTGCCACTGATCACAGTGTTCCGGTATCCATGAATTATTTTGTATTTATTTGGGGTCACTAAGAACTTGACAGTTATGTTTTTCAGGTTTCTAGTTTTAGTACTTTTTTATTTTTAATTTTTTTTCTTTCTTTCAGATTTTAGGAACAAGTAGAACTCTGACTTACATTGAGGAGCATTCTGTGGTAGATCCAGTGGAAAAAAAGATGGAACTTTGCTCAACTAATGTGAGTGGTAGCTTAAGAAGCTTCTGGTAATTAATTCTGGATATTAGATGTTTTGCTCTTAACATTTCAATTAGAAATGTGTTTGCATCTTTCATCAGGAGGCGGCAATTTCCACATCTTAGTTGGCATCTTGGTTGGCTCTTTTTTTTACCTCCTCCTTCTTCCTACAAATAGGAAACTTTAAGTACTTTGGGAGCAAACATTTGTGATTCTGTTTTTAATGTAAGATTATTTCTCAGAAGGCACGTAAAATAGTTTGACTTTTAGATGAATAACTTGTTCTACATTACGCTGCCATTTACAACAAAAATTTTAACGTGAAATGCCTTTTTTCCCCAAATGTAAATGAAGTATTATGCTATATTTTGGTATCTGGGAACCTGTAACTATCAGATTTAAAGTTATCTGTAGGAGAGCCTTGTCTTTGTACAAGAAACATTGTCTTTCCTGAGCATTAATCTTCTGTATAGTCCAAATAGTGTTATGGTGGTCTTGGTGTTGAAGGGCCTCTCTGAATTGCGTGCCATAAATCAGATAAGGCTCAGCATTCAGAGAAGATGAATGGAAAGCTGTTTGTGCTTTGTGCTGTGAATAGCAACTTAGACTGATATAATTAGATCTAGATAGAAGATGCTTATAGGTCTTTTTATTGACTGTGTTCTGGGTTTTATATTCTGTGTGCACTGCTTTATCTCTGACATTAAATTCAGTGCTCTACTATTGAATAGTGCTGTTGATAACAGAAAAATGAAAGGCAGGAAGTAAGGATTTCAGCTTTTTTTTTTTCTTTTTAAGATTACTCTCACAAACTTGGTGTCTGTTGATGAGAGACTGGTTTACACACCTCATCCTGAAAACCCTGAAAAGTAAGTAAGGATATTTGTGTGCTTCTTTGTGTGTAGGAGACATTATGTTAGTCTAGTTCAGTTTAGGTATTAACTTTTCTTCATTCTCTTACAGAACTGTGCTAACACAAGAAGCAATTATTACTGTTAAAGGCATTAGTTTGAGCAGTTATCTGGAAAGCTTAATGGCAAACACAATATCTTCTAATGCCAGAAAGGTACATCTTTATTCTGTTTTCACACTCTCTCCCCCCACCCCGCCCTTCCCTTTTGTTGAAATAGTAACTGTCAATCATGTGTGTTGAACACTATATTTAATTTCTCTAAACTTTGTGCACAGAGTTTCAATGGATTATTTTGTAGGACCTCAGCACGCAGAATATAATTTCCCAAAGTATGAAAAGGTTTCACTGCTAAATCTTTTTTTTTTTTTAGCTAGAATTGCACAGTAGAGCAAACAAACAGTTACATATAGCATATGTGTATTGGGTTTAGGGTTTTTTTCCAAAGCACCTTTTTAAACACTAGCCTCCTATTTCCAGGAGTTAGTGCTAGTAGTGAATATGATTTCCTTTTCAGCCTTTATAATCTGGATTTAGCAGTTAATGCTAGCATATTTTCTGTGCTGCTTTGTCAGTTGTTCCAGTTCCTATCCATTGTTGGATCTGTCTCCTTGCCTTTGGCCAAAAGTAAGGTAGTGTAAGCAGAGGCATATTCTTTGAAGAGGTGAAACTGTGCTGGCTGTTGTAGGTAACACTATATTGGCTCTTCTGCCTTGTGCTTGCTTTTTCTCCTTCAGCACAGGCAGAGCTACAGGAGTGCTTATTCCTGGGCACTTTGTCCTGTACGGCTTCAGGGAAGGTGGGAGAGAAATGGAGTTGCTAGAGAAGTGTAGGCATCGCTGCCTAACAGCAGGATGAGTCCACCTGAGATTTGGGTTTGTGCTCTGCATTGCAGGAGAGGTTCAGCACAGTGGGAATTTGGGCCAGGTGACTCCTGCGATGCCAGGGAGCCTGTGCTTTGGCCAGCCCCTTGTCCTTGTGAAAGATGGTGCTTGACCAAGACAGTGTAAGCCAACTTGATAGGAGGTATTTACCGACTAGATCAGAGAGGAGAAAGCGTCCTTTTCCTCCGTTCTGTGTGTTTCTCTGAAAGTGAGAGGAAACAGGTTAAAATCAGGGGATGGGGAGGGAGTGATGAGTAATTTCTAGGCACCGAAGAGTAACTTTAACTAGCTGAGTGCTCTCTGTGTTTGTTTGAAAGTCATAAACAGAATGTATTACTTCAGTTAAATTACAATTCTATTCTGATCCAGTTTCCATTTAAAAGTCTGTGTGGGGCATATATTCTTGAAACAGAAGTCCAAACCCTGGCTCACAACGAAACTTCAGGCTGATGCGGAGGTAGCAAAGCACTAGCTAGCTGGAATGGCCACATCAACTAGGCACATTTAAAAGCACTGGCTGAATTCCTCTCGTGGCATCTGTCACGTTTGCGTGTCTCTATTGAACTCAGAGAAAGAGCGTAAGTATTTCTTGGCACCTGTTCGGGTGCTGCCTGTGTGAGAGCTCGATTTCTTTTAAAGATTGTTCCTCTGTTCTGCCATTTTCAAGGAACATGCTGGCTCACAAGCTTCTTGCAAATCAGAAGGACCTTCTCGTCCTGTGTGTTTCACCGAAAGGTCTCTTTAGAGATTTTGAACTTGGCAGGAATTTGTGCTTGCTGTTACCAGCCCTTTCTTACTAGCCAGTAACCTACTCTGCTGTTACTAGCTCTTCTTGCATGCTGCGCTGCAGCTCTGTGCTCTTAGCACCCCTCTTAAACTTCATGAAAGTAGCTGAAAAATGTTTTCTTATTCTGAAGAAATAGGAAGTAAGTATTGAGATTTTGCTCTGAGGTAGAGGTGGCAGATGACGCATTATTATTTTTAATGATGATGGAAAAATCATTTGCCATATGTTGTAAATCTTTTTTGTGTTACTCCAGGGGTGGGATGCTATTGAGTGGATAATTCAAAATTCTGAAAGCACTTTAAGCTAGCAGTTCTCCACATCTACAGTTTGTGCTAACTAGTGGTAATGCCGGCATTCTTCTTCTTGGTACAGCACTTCAGCTTTCTAGCAAATATGTGCATGGATTGTTGTCGTGTGAATTTCATAAATTAACCTGCATGTATGTTTTATATACGTTGCATACAGGAATGGCAAACATGTTCATTACACTGCAGTTGTAGAGAGTGAGGGTAGGTCAGATCTAGACTGGATCAATTAACACCTCCTTATGCCGCTGGACAGCCAGCTTGCTGCAGCCGTGTCTTGTACTGCTTATGGTTTGCAAGTGGAACGACGACTGCAGATAACTAGGATGTGAATAAGTCCCTCCACCAAGTGTTCGATCTGGTCCTAGTTTCTGTGAGTTCAGTGTGTAAAACTGGTACCTGAAGAAATTAATAAATTGGTTGGTGACTGGAATTGGCACTGTAAAAATGAAACAGAATTGTATTCTTAGGATATCAAATCGATTTCTTGAAGCAGATTGCCTAACAGGGGTAATCTTTTGCATAGTGAAATTGTATTTGCTTTTCTTATGCCTGAGGAATATTATTGCCCTCCTGTGAACTTCTGTGGAAATCTGTACAAAGCTTGAAGCTGTCAGAATGCCAGACACTCTTTTTTATTGGTCTTGTAGTTACAGTCATTTCAGTAGTAACGTGTCCCTTAAGCGATGTGACTATGAAAAAATCTGACTTGAAGGCTGAGAGAAGTGAGTGTACTTGCCTCTGATACCTCTGTGCAGATTGTTTTCCTTCCACTGGTCAGTGTAGCCTGTCTCTGTCATTCCTGTATTGGCTTATGCTTCAACTAATAAGATTCCTCAAAAAAAGAAAAAAATCCATTGTGCTGCTTCTCCTAGTTAAGAATGTAGGGTTTTTTTACACTCCTTACTTTGAGATCAGTGTATGCCATGAGTGTTTGCTTTTACGTTCTCATTCCACTAAGCTTTTATGGCTGTTTTTCTGGAAAACATCAACTACAAAGGCTTGGCATTTATCAGTCACTTAAGCTCTACCAACAAATCGTCGTATGCAGCGTTTGGTCTGCCAAACATGTCATACAGCTCACATATGCAATAAAGACTAATATAATATGCATGCTTGGTTTTGAATGTGCTTGCTTAACGACTTACTACAGAATTTGTTGTACGGTATGAAACTTTATAGACCAATCCTCTGTCAGATTTTTTCTGGAAGCTGGTTAGTTCTGTAGTACTTGGAGGCTTTGCATCTGGTTGAGATTTGTAACTTAATTTCCTGTGCAGATTATTCCTGAAGTCTTCCTTGCCCATATCACGAGTTTGTTCTTAGTTGCAAAATACAGTATATAGTGTATACAGGTCTAAGGAGACACGCAGACCTATGTAGTCTCAAAAACTGAAGGAAGTATCTTGGTGTTCCTGTTAAATGTCAGGGATTTTTTTTTTTTTCCTTACCTGATCGATAAATATATCAACTGAAACACTATGACCTGGTTGTTTCATAGTCAGGGCCTGAAAAGAATCTCGGTATTTTTCTACTGAGCATTTTCTACATCAAAGGTGTTTGACTTTCTGGCAGGTTTTCTTTGCACGATTAGACAAATGTAACATCTAAGCTGCTGCTGTCTTACTGAGTTCTCTGTGCCTGTGTCACCTAAGAGAGGACATTTTAACCTGACTTTTAAATATCCAAATGCGTGCTTACTGAAAGATGATTTCCCTGTCTCTCCCCCGGCTTTGTTCCTTATGGAGCACTCCACTGGGCTGATTCATGGCTAGTTACCACTTGTTGCTGTGCAGTAGCCTACTCCTGTCTGGGTGCCCTTACGCCTGCTTTGCTGGTGTTCCCGGGTCTTGCACAGGATGTGGAGACAGCGGACGTGGCCACCTGCTGAAGCATGGTCGATTTGGTGCTCAAGTGGAAGGAACTCAGAAGTTAAATCGTACTCTTCTAAGGACTTTTTTCAGCAACTCATACTTAAACTGGACAATTTAAATCAAGCTTTCTTGAATATTGTCCATATTTTTTAAAGGTGTATCTTGAACTAACTTAAACGTACTAGTTCTTGAGGTAATTCTGGCTAGAGCCGAATCCCCCTTTCTGAGCTCTGCCCAAGAGCTGAACGCTTTTTTGTGGTATGTAGATGCGTGGATGACTTTTCTTGGTTTAAGGACTGCCTGCCATTGCAGATGTAGCAATTAGTGTTTATTCTGTGAGTCCCTGTAATATGAAAAACCTGAAGAGAAACAGAGTCAGCCCTTCACTGAACTTGGTGAGAGTCTTGAGATAAATATGCTCTTATTCATAGTAAAACTTTTTCTTTTAATAGATTACACTTTGCGGCCTGGAACTGGGCTTTTAATATTGTTCCAGAGTAATGTTTCTAGCTTCAAAAAAAAAAAAAAAATCCTTCAAGAGTATGTGTGGGTTTTGTTTTGACCTTTTTTTTTTTTTTTTTTTTAGGTTTTCAAAGCTGTTTATGCAGATTCTTGTCCATGCTTAGTAGTTTATAGAGGACAGCAGCAGGTTCTGGACACTTCATGAGGTTTTTGTTCACTTTATCACCTGTAATGCATGCAACAAAACCAGTACATGGTAGTTCAGAACAAAACCGTGTGTGTGTGGAGGGGCGTTCCCCTCCTTTCCCTCAGTCTATGCAGAGGGCTTGAACACTGACACTGGCCCTCCTGAAGACTTAGGACTTTTTGGGCTCAGACCCTTTGTCTGCAGAACTCCAGACTTGGCCGACGCCACATGTGGCTCCCAGTTACTGGTCTCCACTGTTTGCACTTCTTATTCTTAGTAGGGTAATAGAGGTGAATGTCTCTTGGCTTCTCTTTAAGTGAAAAAAGGCCAGGTGCTTTTCTGGTCTGATCCCATCTGCTTGTTTTGGCAAAAGCTGTCATTCTGAGATTGTGGAGCTGTAAAATCTTGAGCTTTTATTTAGTTAAAATGCTTCTCTATATTCTCTTGGCTTCATTGTGCAGCTGGCTGCACGCTTGTCTTGTGGTCATTGGGGTGCAGCTGCTACAGGGTCTTAAGGGAAAAGGTTTTTGACATGCTTATTTTGCTGGATTCCCCAGCTCTTACTGAAGCATTGGCTGTCAATGCCTAGCTTGGAGGCAGTCCCAGTCTGAGAACTGAAGAGAGAAAGACCATACCTTGATGTAAAATGGGCGACTGTAGTCTCTGAATCTGTTTTGTATGCTGAAATGTTGCTGTGCGTGAATACAGAATTCGGTACGAGTCTCTCTGAACTCTTGCTAGATAGCAGATCAATTAGTTGCTACTTCAAAGAGCACTTGGAAGATTCTCTTTCTTTGTCCTGGATCTTCTCACAAACTGTCCATATGACTTGGTTAATGAATCTGAGAACAATATCTAGACTTTGCCCTAAATTTGCTGGTATTCTTTGGGTGGTGGGAGCAGCAAACAGTAAAACCAGCAATACTCTTCCATAAGGGAACTTAACTGCTGAATTAGGCTTTTGACTAGGTGCTCTACTGGGAGCTCACACCAATATTGCATTTACTTCTTGCGTATGGGTTAAGCAGATGCTTTTGTGGTGAAGTTTCCGTAAGGAGATGCTAAGAAATTATCAATATAATCTGATATCAAACTATGCAGGGCATGAAATTAGTTTTAAAACAAGTCTAATGTCTGACAGAGGAAAAACTATAGAAACATGAGCAGTGGTGGTGTATCTGTTCTGATCCTAAATACCAGTGTTTTCCTGGCAGGGTCGGGATGCCCTGGAGTGGGTGATCAGCAAACTAAATGCAGAATTGGAGGAGCTGAAGTCAACGCGTGAGGGCATGAAACCAGCCATGGCAGCAGCATCAACAGAAAAATAAAACCAAAAATACCAAGTAACGGACAGAAAAGTTCTATTCTGCAGACTGCTTTGTGGATCTCCCTTCCAAGGCTGATCTGCAGAGGTTTTATATATTTATAAGAATATTGGATCAGCGGAAAAGTAACCTCATCTGTCATCTCCACAGCAGCTCCTGTTGCCTACTGAAGATTAAATTCACCTCCTGCAGATGCTCTTTTCATTTAAACAATTTATTTTTAACACTGGAAACAAAACATTTAGCACATTTAAAACTGCCTAAATGTGCCTTTTATAACAGAGACAGAGACTATGTTATATTTGCCGTCTCGGTTTTTGTCCTCAAACTTGAAAAGAAGGCATGTGTGGTATTAAGGGTTTTCCATGGGAACATTTGTTCTGGGAAGGGCTGATAGGTACAAGAGCACTGAATTTTGTCTGTGTTGCAATCTGGTGGTGTCTTATGACCATTTAAAGGGAACTACATGAGTCAGAACATGGTACTGTAGAATTAGGTGTCTATCTAGAGGATCATCCTGAAAAGCGGAAACTTGTGTGGTACTAACTTTTCTCATGTTTAAATGTACTGCCTGAACATGAGACACGGATACTTTACCTCTTCGATGTTTATATCCAAACAAAGTTTCTATTGACGTTAATAGCCTAAAACAGTTTTTTGGTGGGGAGAAGGGTATAATTTATTTTCATATTTATTAACTTGCCCTAGTTCCTCCCCTCCCTGTGAGGAGAGGAGCAGTAATTCCTGGAAGGTGCTGGAAAATACTTCTGTTATTTATCTCCAAGAAGGGTACTCGTAGGCTACTTGAATGAAGAGACTGTGCTGTTCCACTGGTCCTTGCTGTTCACATCATGTCTTAACTGAGGGAGAGACTGATGCAATAACCAGAAGAGTTGAAATGAGAAATAAGCAGGCAATCTGAAATCCAAATGGTAAGGTTTCCTGAACATGTACTTTTCATGCCATGAATGGAGAAAACAAGAGTACAAGAAAAACAAATGGACTCTCCTTTCTGAGTGCTTTCTACTAACTACTGACTACCCGTGCAACTGAATTTTTTCAACACTTTTCCACATTGGTACAAAATGGTTTTAGGATAATTTTAAATGCTTCTCGTTATCTGGAAGAATACTCCCGTAACTGCAGAAATTGTTTCCTATAAAACGTGCATAAATATATACTGGTAACAGTCCTAGCCTTGTCTGATCGTCACAAAATTTTCATATTTGGTCCAGGTGTAGTATACGTTTCTTGGACAGCCCTCTGTTAGGGCATTTTAACTTGTTTTTTGGTATGCACACAAAGTGAAATAAATGTTGCAAGGATGTTTAGTCATTCAAGTGGCAAGCATGTGTTTAGGAAGCTGTTAAAAGAGCATGAGTAACTTCTAAAAAACTAGAAGAGTAAAATGTTGGTCACTGTTTTGATCTGGTAATTTTAAAGTGTCTGTAGCTTAAGGGAAATTTCAGCATTCATATTCTGGTTAGTTCGAAAGTGAACGTTAATTTGGATGTAACTATAATCTCACTAAATTACATGATTCTAATGAATAAACTTAATCTAAAAATACATATATATTAGTTGAAAGCAATTAAATGAATAGCTAGTATTTACATTGCTTTTTTTATATGGACCTAAAGCCTTTCTTATTTTGGAACAGAAACGTAGAGCTTCAAGGCCGATAGTAGCTCCTTTCCAGAAGATACACTGGATAGCTTTGGTGCAGGTCAGTTGTTGTCTGCTTCTCAGAGGAGTGATGCCACTTGCTGGATAAAGAACACGGAAGATGTTCTCGCTCCTGGTGGCATCCTGCTAGGAAGGGGAGTGCAGCTGTGGCAGAGCTCTGCGAACGAAAGGAGAAGATGAGTAAGTGTGTGTGCATGTGGAAGCCTGTACAACAGCATTTCCATACATGCCCATGGGAGATGATGAAAACGTAACTGTTCGGGGGGTGGAAGAGTCTTTGGAGAGGTTCATGTGTCGCTTTGGTTTGGAAGAAGACTTGGCTCAAGCTGCTTCTTGTATCAGATTTGAAATAATTGCTTAGTGTTGTGTTAAAGCCGACTGACGTGGGTACAGCACCTCCCAGCACTAACCGGTGTCCTGGAAAAGTCACCGCAGGCTCCTGTATTCTGTCTAGGGCCGAGCTCCTCTGCCACACCTTAGGTCAGGACCAGTTGTGCATCAGTTTCTTGGATGACTTTGTACTTTTGTTTCCTTCTTCCAGAAACAAGTCCTTATCTTCGTGTGTTGCAGCATCTCCTTTCTGTTTAATTCCCCACTGGTTTTGGGCTGTTTCCGCTCCACGTTTCATGCTCCTTGGGAACGATGCGGCTAGGTGCTCGGTTTTCCAGTCTGTCTGCTGTGCCACTTGCTGTGGATCAGCACCTCGCCTGCTTGTGCTCAGTCCTCTTCTGCTTTTCTCTAGGCTAAACGGGAGTGGGGAAGCTTTGGGTAGGAAAAAGACTAATTTCTTCCAGGGGCCAGTTCCGTCACCCACTGCCTCCCTCCACTGCCAGGCAGTGCTGCTGCTGCTTACCTTGTCCTTGGGGGAGGTGACACTCCTGCACCGCCGGGGTTATTGAGCTTCCTGCCGTTGCTCATTTTGCCAGGGTGGACAAAGGCCCTTGCAGGCAGTGGTCGCGCTGGGACCAAGTAGGCTCCAGTGTTTAGAGGTGAAGTCATTCTTAATTTCCTGTAAGCTTTCCTGGACGCTGTCACTCTTCTGCTTTCTGCCCATCGAGTTTGCATACGGGGCTCCCACCCTTCTCCCTTCACCGTGGGACTCTTCTCCATGGGATCTGTAGCTGTGTTCAGCCCTGCTGTGCATAACGCTTTTTGAAGCGCTCCATTTCCCACTCCCGTTCTGTCACTGTTGTAGTCTGAGGTGACCCTTGGGGCAAAAAACCTTTGGAATTGCTTATCTTGGTCCTTCCCTAGGGAACCTCCCCATTTTTTCTTTGTGTACTGGAAATGGCTAAAAAATATTTCTGAAGTCAGTTTTATGTCATGTGCATGGACTGAGGTGTCTGTCAAAGTTAGGAAGCCGCATGTGAGGGAAACTGCTGGGCTGCTTGCAGGAGCCAGTGGGGTGTAGCTGTTTGGGTTGGTGCAGGAACAGCCAGGTAGGGAGGAGGGGGAAAAATCTATAAAGCAGAAATGGTGTTGAGTCGACGCTCAGTAACGTGGAAGGATCTTGAAGTGCTGGGGACCAAGGAGAAGAAAGCTCAGCACTTGTAACCATGCTGAGTAATGGGTAGCAAAGGCTGTTTTGAATAAGAATTCTGCACGTTGAGAGCTGAAAATAGAATTAAGAGTTTTGTGTGTTGGGGAGGGAGGGCGTTCGCTGCTGCTGTTCAAGCCACTGAGGCAGTTCGGTGTTCGCAGCCGTGAGGCTGCAATTCAAGGGAAAGGGAGCGCAGGGAGGGGTGTGTAGCGATGGGGTGGTCTGAGGGTTTAGTGGCGGCGTGTCGGGTCTCCAGGCTGGTGAGCAGTGTGGGGCTCAGCCCGCCCAGTAACTGCAGCTGGGTGGCACAGGCCAGCGGGGAAATGGTGAGGGAAGGGGACAGGGGTGGTTCCCAGGGCGTGGCAAACTGGGCGTGTCAGCTTTTGGCCCTGAAGGAGTGTAAGGTGTTGAAGATACCAAACTTGAGGTGAGCTGGTTTCTGGATGATGTCTGTTTCTCGTGCTAGTGCCGATGGGCCCACGTTAGCAACAAAAGGCATTCACTTAAAACAGTGTAATCAAATGGTCTTGTGTCTCATTTGTTTTGTGTAGACTATTTTTTTTTTTCCTTGACTTGCTCTTGCACTCGTGTGAGTCCTCCATGCTCCCCCATACCTCTTACTTCTCCCCCCCATCAGGTCAGCAGGCGTGAGGGGGAAGGGCCGTATTTGTTGGGACAAACAGGTAATCCTAGGGCAAGTCACAGTAATCTTGAAAGAGTTGTTTAACGGAAGTAAAAGCACTGAACTGCAGCACTTTGTGTTTATCATTTACAACTGATGTCTAGCACATATCAGGCATTGATGTATCTGACGATGTAATAAAGTAGCATGGAGTAAGATGGCCAGTGACATTCCTCGATGTGACTCTTTTCATTTAAATTTTTCAGGTGGAGCAGTGGGTAACACCTTTCCTATTCTTGCCTCTTCCTAGATTGTAAGCTGTGAAGGGCAGGACTCGCTTGTAAAGTGTCTGTGTACACTCTGGTGCTGTCTTAAATAAATGACATCCTCCATTTAAAAAGCCACTTCTGGGTGTAACTGCTGTAATATGAAATGGGCTGTTGGTTTTCAGAGAAGGCTGCCGAAAAATTATTTGCGTTGGTCTGTGCCGGGTGAGCAGCAGGACTCAGCCCCAGGCTCCCTGCAGTTCGCTGTAAGCCACGCGTCCCATCGTACGGGTCAAAAGCTCTGCAGGGGTTCTCTGTGCCTGAACTGGTAACTCCATTTGGGTCTGGCAGCTGCTGCATTTTGCAGTCAAAAAGGAGAGTGTCATCTAAAACAATTAGCCTTGACTTGTAAATAAGACCTTGTTTATCTAATAAACTATCTTCTTACTCTACCAACGCTACTTGCCACCGGTCAGCATGACACAGGTTATGGGGTAGCCTTTAAGTCCAGCTCCAGGAAGCAGGCCACGCTTTCGCTATGAATTTGTTCAATGAGAAGGCATTTTTGTGAAGCACAAGTCCTGTCCTCTTGATTTTTCCACAGCTGAGGTGACTGAGGTATGAGTCTCATTTTAGTGGAAGTAAAATCATCAGTAAGGGCTCCTCATTAGGGGCCCTGCTAGTGCAATTCTTCCCTTTCTTACTCTTCTATAACTTTGTTTCTAACCTAGTTAAACTCCGCAGCAGCTACGATTCAGATGACCAAACAAACGTGGAACATGCCCTTGCCAGCTGTGCTGCATAAGAAATGATGCTTGCCGTCTTTACAGTTAGCTCAAGAAAGCAAAAGCAATGCAGTGTCGGTTTAAGGAACGTTTTATTAGTAATG